ACCTCCTTTATAAGAGGAACCAAATCAACAAAACAAATGAGCAAAACAGAATCAGAGGCACGGAAACAAGAAACACACTGACATTGACTAGAGTGTTGAGAGGCAGGGGAATAAGGGAGGAAAGAGGGGGAAGGGTGTAGTCAAGGAACAGGTGGAAATGACCCATGGACATGGACTACAGGGTTGGGATTGATGGTGGGCACAGGGGATGCACAGGGCAGGGGAGCAAATGAAAATGAATTAAGTTATTGGTGAAAATGAAAAATGCGTCTTTTATTTTATGGAGAAGAACCATATATTTCTAGGAATTTATTAATTTTGTCTAGATTATCTAATTTGTCATATAGTTGTTCATAATATTTTCTTACAGTTCATTGTATTGGGTTGGCCAAAATGTCTAAGTTTTTTTCTATAAAATCAAAGATACATTTTTTCATTTTCACCAATAACTTTATTGATTTGAGTATTTTGCATGCATCGACTATCTCCTGCATGGTAGAATATTGATTATTTCCAATTAATGTCTCAATTTGACCGCTATCAACTTCAGCTGGTCTACTGGACCATGGAACATTGTCCAGTGCGTAATCTCCAGCACAAAACTTTGCATACCACTATTAACATGTTCTATCAGTGACGGCACTTTCTCCATACACTGCACAAATTATCTGTGTGTGTTTCTGTGGCATTTTTACCTTTATTGAAATAATACATAAGAAAAAATAATCTATCTTTACATAAAAAGAAATAATAAAGCATAATATGCCAAAAGTGTTTTGTATTTTCTTCCATTTTCAATATTAAAATGGCTACACAAAAATTCACCAATTTTGATAAGCTTTTGAAATGCACTCTGATATGACAGCTGTCCCAGTACAATCGAACAATCGTTTTGAATGAAGTTAAAGACAACTAAGCACAACTAGACTCTCTTAGGGAAAAAAACCAAATGAACTTCTTAGCTATTCCAATACAGTCTTCTAAACCTGAATAAGGATGAATCAGGAAACTTGAATAGACCGATTACAACTAATGGAATTGAAGAAGTACTCAAAAAAAATTCCAGCAAACAAAAGTCCTGGACGGGGTTGCTTTAAAGGCAAATTTCACCGAGTGTTCAAAGAAGAGCTAACATCTATTCTTTTCAAACTATACCAAAAAATTCAACAGAAGGAAAGACTTCCAAAACTTTTTGTAAGGCCAGAATTATCTGAATGCCAAAACTGGATAAAGGCACTACAAAAAAGGAAAATTACAGGCCAATGTCCTTAATGAACATAGATGCTAAAATCCTAAACAAAATATTAGCAAATCAGATCAAGAAATACATTAAAAAGATTATTCACCATGACCAAAAAAATTATTCCAAGAATGCAAGGTTGGTATAATATTTGTAAATTAATAAAAATGATACTCACATAAACAAAATGAAGGATAAAAATCATATGACCATATCAATAGATGTAGAAAAATATTTGATAAAATCCAAGACCCATTTATGATAAAAAAAAAAAAACCTCTCAGCACAATGGAAATAGAGGGAACATACCTCAGTACAATAAGTCCAAATATAACAAACCCACAGCTAACATTATAGTCAATAGGCAAAAACTAAGTATGTTTCTTTCCCTTAAAATCAGGAAAAAGACAGAGATGTCCACTACCACTCTTATTCATCATAACACTGGAAGTCTTTGTCAAAACAATCAGACAGGAAGAAGAAATAAAAGGCATTCAAATTCAAATTCAAAAAGAAGTAAAATGGTCATTATTTGTAGATGACACGACACTCTGTAAAGAACCCTAAAGATTCTACCAAGAAACTACTAGAACTGATAAATGAACTCAGTAAAGTAGCAGGATAGAAAATTAATATTTAGAAATAGGTGGCAATTTTTAAACTACTAATGAACTATCATAAAGAGAAACTAAAAAAACAAAAATCCCATGTACTATTGCAACAACAAAAAGAAAAAAACAGGTACCTAGAAATAAATTTAACCAAGGAGGTAAAAGACCTGTACTTGGAATACCATAGGACATTGAAGAAAGAAACTGGGAAAGATACGTATAAGTTGAAGCATATACTGTGTTCATGGATTGGAAGAATTAACATCATTAAACTGTTCATACTCCCCAAAGCAATCTATAGATTCAGTCCAATTCCTATTAAAATACTGATGGCATATTTCACAGATTTAGAACAAATAGAAAAAAAAGAAATTTTTATAGAACCAAGAAAAGACCCCAAACAGTGTCAGCAATCTTAAGAAGAACAAAGTTAAATGTATCATGCCACCTGATATCAAACTATACTGCAAGGCCATTGTGATCAAAACAGCCTAGTACTGGCAAAAAAATAGGCATATGGATCAATGGAACAAATCAGAGATCCCAGAAATGAAACTATTCCTATATGTTCAATTAAAATATTTGACATGGGAGACAAAAACATAAAATTAAGTAAAAACAGTCTCTTCAATAAATGGCGTTGGGAAAATTGGACAGGTACATGCCAAAAAAAATGAAACTATATATTGAATTACACCATACACAAGCATAAACTGAAAAAAAAAAGATTTTAATGTAAGTTATAAAACCATAAAAATCTTGGAAGAAAATATAGGCAGTAAAATCTTAGACATTCTTGTTGCAATATTTTTTGCCAATATATCTCCTAGGACAAGAGAAACATAAGAAAAATAAAATAAACAAATGGGACTACATCAAACTACAAACATTCTTCACAGGAAAAAAAAGCATCAACAAAATGAAAAGGGAGGCCACTATATGGGAGAACATATTTGCCAATGATATATCTGATAAAGGGTTAATTTCTAAAATATGTGAAGAACTTATATAACTCAACATCAGGAATACAAACAATCCCATTAAAAATGGGCAAAGGAAGTGAATAGACACTTCTCCAAAGAAAACCTACAGATGGCCAATAGACATATGAAAAAATGCTCAGTGTCACTAATCATCAGAGAGAGGGAAACTAAAACCACAATGAGATAGCCCCTCAAAAGTACCAGAATGGCTACCATCAATAAAGCAACAAACAACAAGCACTGGCAAGGATGTGAAGAAAAGAGAACTCTAGTGTACCATTGATGAGAATGCAGACAGTTGTAGCTTCTATGGAAAACACTGTGGAGTTTCCTCAAAAAATTAAAAATGGAACTACCGTTTGACACAGTGATCCCACTCCTGATATATTAAGAATACCAAAACACTAGTTTGAAAGAATATATGCACCCCTATGTTCTTTACAATAACCAAGATTTGGAAGCAGCCCAAGTGCCCAGAAGTAGAAGAGTGGATAAAAAAGCTGTAGTACATTTACACAATGGAAAACTACATAGTTATAAAAAAGAAGGAAAGTTTACCTTTTGTGACAGTATGGATGGACTGGGAGGGTATTATGCTAAGTGAAATAAGCCAGTTAGAGAAAGACCAATAGCATATGATCTCATATATATGTGAAATCTAATAAACAAAATAAACTAATGAACAAAATAGAAACAAAGGCATGGATACCTGGAACAGACTGACAGCTGTCAGAGGACGGGAGTAGGGGGGACTAGATGAAAGAAGGTGAAGAGAATACCCAAAGAACAAATATGCACAGATACAGACAACAGTGTGGTGATGGCCAGAGGGAATGGCATTGGGGGTTGGGTGAAAGTAAACAAAGGGATGAGGGGAGATCAGGACATCTTTAATAATGTCAAAAATAAAAATAAAGTTAAAAGAAGAAATTTGTGCAATGGGATCAGAGATTGGAGACCATGAAAAATGTAAGAGATTATAGCAAAATGGGTACCAGAGAAAGGAACTAAGTGAGTGGGAAGCTTGAACCAAGCTTTTCAGAGGGACTACCATCTCTAGAGTGTGGCCATAGAACAGGTAGCCATGGCATTGGCACACCAATTATGAGAGAAGAGAGACCAGGATTTTGAATATTGACATCCCTGGAAATGATGGCAGAACAGGAGTAGAGGGCAAGTCTGAAACAAGGTGCTTAAGTCCTCAGAAAGTGAAAGGAAGATGATCAGAGAATAGTAACAGGAGGCAGGAACAGGTGAAGACCAAACACATTGGATTCAAAGGATCTGGGGGTAAGGGTAGGGCATTCTTAAGGTAAAGAAGGAGAAATGGCTTGGAAGACACCAATCTCACCAATTGGTGTGTGATAATGTGCATAAGAGAAAATACAACTTTCACTTGAGAAGTCTGCAGGGAAAGTACTAACTGTGGGAATATGGACAGAAGGCCACGGACAGAAACCCTCAGAGGAAAGATCACAATACATTCTGACTTGACTGGAGAGTCCCAAATTACTCCTGTTGTTCCAGAATACTTTTAAAGAATGTCCCCAGTACTCTCAAAGTTGCCTCCATTTAGAAAATAAAAAATATGGTTCACCTAATTCAGCAGGATTGTTGAGGATGTAGCAAGTGCTAAATAAACATGTGATGTTGTGTTGTAGCAGGTGAGGCAGTTATCCTTCTGCAGCCTCTCTTCCCTCTTAACAAAATAGATTCTCTTCCAACCCTCCAAAAAAAAAAAAAAAAAAAAAAAAAAAAAACAAGGTCCCTGAAGCCTTTGGGGCTGAATCCTGATTATTTAATACATTCTACTCAATCTCTGCCACTAAAGGAAGCATCTACCTTTAGGCCAAGTAACTCTTTAATTCACATTAGAATTTGAAAAAATAAAAAGGTATTAGCCTTGAGTGTGTGTACATTTCAATTGGAAATTTCTGCAAAGAAAAGGCCTTTACTTTAAGAATAAAGAATTAATGGTGGAGTTATATGGTCAGGACAGATAAAAAATTGCATAGATTAGAGGTGGAGATGTGGGAATTTTTCCCCACATTGAACCTTGATGTTGACTTTTATTCTTCACCTCATTAAGACAACCAAAGCCAGCAGAATTATGAAAAAGGAGTGACTTTGAGGTTCTTGATAAAACTTGTTCAAGAACAAACTTACCTTGGCACTTTTACTCAGGAAGCTGAGGCCAAATTTCTTGAGGTTTTGGAAGGTTATGTTCTCAAAAGGCATTTTGTACCTTGCGTCAGAGCTTAAGTCTAAGATTTGGACAGATGGGATATTGACCTCCGTGATCCCAAAGTACTCAAAGATACGTCTGTTTCTGGGTTCATCTGCATCCACAAGGATGAACAGGATCTGTCAAATCAAATGAAACTTGTGTTGCTCTGGATTGGAGGTCATCAAGAGGGTAAAATTTAAAGTTGGGTAAGGAATCCCTTACACAGCAAGAGAAAGTGTTGAGAAGCTGTGGGAGGGCACTAATGGAGTGTAAACAGTGGGTCTACGGAGTGCCACTAAGACTTAATAAAGATTTCCTTTCATCAGGCAGGTGCAGCCCTGTACCCTAGTAAACAGATAGCCATCAGTCAGCCTGGCACCACCATCCACACACTGTAGGAAGTCAAGAGGTCCTGATCTTTCATCCCAGTTGCTTGGGCAAAACACTAACTTCCCCTCTCTGTGCCTCAGTTTTCTTATCTGTAAAGTGATGATAGCTCCCACCTTATAGGAGTACTATGAAAATTGGACAGGACTATGTATGTAAAGACTGAGTTTAGTGACAGGGAGATAGAAGATGCTCTGTACATATTCACTCATTATTATTCTAAATTATTTTTCTATGAAGGAAATTCATGACTTTACTCATTCATTTTACAAATACTCATGGAGAGCCTACCAGGCATTTTGTTAAGCATGGGGCTATGCCGCTGCCCAAGGCAGACAAAATCCTCACCCTCATAGAGCTTATGATCTAGTGCAAAAGTCAGACAATAAATGAGTAAACAAATTAATAAATTCAGAGGGGAAGCAATTGGGTTGTGATCAATTTAATTACATCAAAATCTTAAAGTTAAAATGAAATAAACCAGGAGATATACCTACAAGTTGTATTGCTGTGATTAGAGCATTATTCCTAGGGGAAAACATGGTGGAATGAAGCATGAACAATTAAATATGTTTGTGACCTAGAGGTTTTATTCCATGTTTATTTTGGGTTACAAGTTTATTTCATTGTTTGTTTAAGTTTCAGCCATTTTCTTCAAAAGAAAAGAATTACCATTACTGTACTGCTTGTAAAAATAAAGAGAAAAATTAGGTAAATAGCCCTAATAGTCCGGGTGATAGTAACTACAGAAATATAGGTATAGTGCTTAGGAAAAACATATTGGTTTCTAATGATGATAATGACCCCAATGATAATAAGCACTGTTTCATGTACATTTGCTCATTGCTTTACATAAAACAACTCTAATTCTTACCATAAATCTTCATTCTACACAATGAGGTGACTGAGGCTGAGAGGTTAAGAAACTCACCTAAGACAAAACCCACTTCTAAGAGGAAGAGAATTTGAACCCAAGTTTATGAAATGCTAAAGCCTAGAAACTTAGTCATCAGACAGTCTGTGCTGCTTTACACTTCTAGGTTTTTCATACTCCCTGACCTCAGGAAGGACTGTTCTTGTCTCCTTCTCATCTCCAGGCCAAATGCTACCCACACAGTAGTTCCTACTCTTACTGTAGAATGGTCCATCAAAATATCAGCCAAACCATCATATTCCCATTGTAGACTTATCGAAGATGAGAGAAAAAGAAGCATAGATTTTGCAAGAGAGGAAGAGACACTGGACAGGAATAGAGGAGGTTGATTTAAATGTAAATAGTTAATGATACATAGCATTGACATGTAAATCAGGATATTGGTATGCAAATGAATATGAAATTATTCCTGGCTTAATTTATAATCAGCAAGACAGGCCGATGGGGTCAGAGTCTTTAAGTCTACGATCCCCAAAGAGAAATGATTCTCCACAAACCTTGTTTTGGAATTCCTCAGATGCCAATTTATAATGCTGCATTATCATACCAAATGACTTGGAGCTTTTGGAGGCAAAAAGCAGCATGTGATTCAGGATGTGCAGTTCATAAATCAGACCCTTATTCTGAAATGAAAAGAAAAACAGGTCATCCCACCCACATAGCTGCCCCAGTTATTCTTCTCCTGGGGGAGACTTTGCTCACTGACCTCAGTGTTGTATTCAATAACAAAACCTGTGAGGTGCTGTTTTATGACTTGATTGAGAACATGTTTGTTGGTACTGTCATTAATAAGCTCTTGGCGGTTCACAATTTTTCCCTTGAACAAAAGAAGAAAAACATTGGAGGGCAGTAGCTTTCATGATGTAGGTGCTAAATATAAATAGCATAATTTTCTCCCTGGTTAAAAGTAAAACACTGTGGTGACAATGTAATCCATATCTAGGCACTTCATAAGTATGGACAGCTGGGCAGATTGGCCTGTGAATCCATGGGTATGTGGCAGCCATGAAAACCTCTGATCTACAAAGGCAGGGAGTGTAATTGACTGACATCGCAGCTGCCTTGTTCTGAAATACATCAATGTATTGGTGCTGATGTTGAGTGGTTTCTCACACACTGCCCCTAACCAATAACTGAATGTGTCAGAGGTACTAAGGCAAGCTCACTTCTGTGAGGTGAAGGACTTCTCTTCTAAGTGACTTTGATGAACTTTCTAAGAACTCCACGCCAGTCAAGGACTCTTTCTCCAGTTTTCCCTTTCCTTCCTTCCTCACTCCTCCCATCCCCTCCCTTCCTCCCTCCCTCCCTCCCTTCCTCCCTCCCTCCCTTCCTTCCTTCCTCCCTCCCTTCCTTTTTCTTCCTTCCTTCTTTCCTCCCTCCCTTCCTTCCTTCCTTCTTGCCCTTTCCTTCCTTCCTTCCTTGCCTACTTCCTTCCTTCCTTCCTTCCTTCCTTAGGGTAAGGCCTACATCATGGTCTTAAGAGTCTCCCTAGCTCCCTCTCTGTTTTCACAGGCATTTTCCTTAATCTCTAAAGGTCTATTACTGCTTGATGACTTCTTATCAGAAGGACCTGAATCAACACAAGGAATACTATAATTCTCTGTAGCCCAGAATCAAAGTCTGTAGGGAAAAAGAAAGTAATCTCCTAATTTCTCTCTTCTGTCTCTTTTTCTTCATTTCCACCAATCCCACCTTCTTAGTCCATACTTCTTTACTGAACTGAAAGTCTCCTAACTGTCTCCAATTTCTCCCCTTGCTTCCCTCCAATCCATCCCTCAAGCTTCAGCCAGAATGATGTTGTTAAGAATGCAAATCTGATCATGCCATTCTCTTGCTTAAACACTTCACAGACGCTGTTGTGCTCCAGATAAAATCTAACTCCTTTCTAGTGATAAGAACAATCTAATAATACTAACTAGACTTATTGAGAGCTCATGTACCAGCCACCATTCTAAACAGGCAGATTGACTTCAGTGCCCATACCCTTAAACATTAAAATAAACCAACTTTCCCTTAAATGCATTTTCCAAGTTTGCCACTTGGATTTTGTATCTTTTCATGAGGTTTGTCCTACAGAACTTTTAAATAGTTATGTATTCCAAACTTATCACTACTTCTTCTCCTTGTTTCTATAGTTTCTGTCATGTTTTATAAAGGGGCATTCCCACTTCAAGACTACAAAGCAAACTCTCCTGAAGCATCTTCTAGTCTTTCAATGATCTCATTGTTATATTTTTAAATCAGGGATCAATATGAAATTTAATTTAGTGAAAGGAGTGATATATGGATTTAGCTTTAGTGTTTTGTTTTCAATGGCTACCCAATTCTCTCAACACTAGTCATTGAATAGCATATATTTTTCTTATTGATCTAAAATAACGTGTTAAATTTCCATACATATTTGGATCTATTTCTGCACTTTGTATTGTCCCACTCAGAAACCAAATCAATTTATTTTACTCTCCAAATTGAAGATTTTCAGTGACTTCCATGGGCCTATGTAAAAATTCATTGGGTTTACAGTCTTCTCTAAAAGTCAAGCAATTCTGGATGTCACTCTACCTGCCTCCTGTGTGGCCTTGGGCAAGTAACATAACCTCTCTGAGGCGTATGTATAAGTAATATGGTTATTGTAAAGATTCAGCTTTTTGTGGGGGAGGAATAAGGCATGTTCCAACCAGACCACAGTGTCTAGAGTAACACTGTTCAATAGAACTTTATGTGATGATAAAAATACTCTGTGAATCTATGCTGTCCAATAGACAATAAAGTAGTCACTAACCACATGAAGCTAGTATGATTGAGGAACTAAAATTTTAATTGAAACAGTCACAGCTGCCATATTGGACAGCTCATATCTAGATCACAGAGAGTGGGAGGAGGAAGGTGTATAATAGCAGCTAGACTATGGAAGGCCTTGTGGGTCTCACTAAGAACTTAGATTTTTATCCTGTAATAATAGGATTAATAGGAAACCATAAAAAAAAATAGGAAACCATAGAAGGGTTTTAAGTGGGAGGGAGGAAAGTGACTAATAGATTTGAATTCTGGAAAGATTGGTTATTAGAAGACAAAAGAGAATGTGGCAGATAAGTTGGGTGGATGTTGCATTAGGCTGTGGGAAATGATGGTCACTTGATCTAAGAATGAACCAGTAAAGAAAAATGGATAGATGCAAGAGATCTTTTGAATTTAAAATCAATATGATTGAAGTGATGGGGTGGTTATGAGGGGTAGAGGAGAGGGAGGTGTTAGAATGATGCCTGGGTTTTCTGACTTTGCTCAGAGGAGAAGTGGGAGAAATGATGGTACCATTCATTGAGGAAGAAAAAAACACTACAAGAGGATTTGGAAAGGAGACTAAGACTTGGCCAGGTTGAGACATCTGGTGATATATATATATAGGTCTAGAAATAAGGGAAATCTGACTGGAGGTAGAGACTTGTAAGCCATTGGGTGTCTGGGTAGTAATTGCTAATAGAGGGTGAGTGGGGGGACACAGACCAGACAAAAACACAAAGCATAGGATTGAAACATAATGACATTTAATGATTAAAAAAGAAAGATGAGCTTATAGTAAGAGAATGGCTAGCAAGGCCAGAAAAATACCAGGAAACTGATTTTGCAAAAGCCAACTAGTCCAATGCTGCTTAGCTCACAAGTGGCAGAAGCAGAATTTGTACCCAAAGCCAGTACATACATTCACAGTCCCCAGTTTTGAACTAAAGAATCTTTACTAGCAATATGATCAAAGACTTACCTTTTTGAACACCAGAACACTGTCAAGGGTGACATGGAAACGCCCAATGGCATTACTAATCGATATCACTCCAAACGTTAGCTCTGGGAAGTCTTTGATCACATCATAGAACAACTCTGCTACTTCTTCCTCTAAATCCTATTTGGGGAAGGATTTTTGGTAAGGTTTTGTTAGAAAGCAAAATGTCTGGTTCATTTAAGGGCAAGATAGAAATGGTGACCAATTTGTCTTCTTACCTTTTCAGCTTCTGAGATTTTGCAGAGAGTCACCTAAATCCCATTTTATGAATGTTTCATACCAAGACTATTTCTATGGCTATGACTAAGGCCAAAATAGGCAAATACACAGAGATGAGGGGAGAGAATTGATAAGACTTCTAAGCATTTATTCCTTAATTGTTTTCAGAAGAGGCAATTTATTTGACTGAATGTATTGATAGTGTCAAATATAAATTTGGCCCCTGACTGGTATAGCTCAGTTGGTTGGGCATCATTCTGCAAAGCGAAAGGTTGCTGGTTCAATTCCTGGTCAGGGCACATGCCTGCATTGTTGATACAGTCCCCAGCTGCGGCATATATGAGAGGTGACTGATTGATGTTTCCCTCTCACATTGATATTTCTCGTTCTCTCTCCCTACCCCTCTCTCTAAAAAAATAAAAAAATAAAAATATATATGTAAATTTGGTATGAAAATATGGCTGTAGCTTCAGCCTTCATTCTTTAGCTTAAAAGCAAATTGGGGCCAAAAACACTGTCAAAAAATAGGATGGGTGAGAAAGAGGTATATCCTCTCCCACAATATAAATTTAATGCCAAAATCCTGACTTCAATGGGAGGAGGCAAGGAGTCATCAGAGTTACAGAAAATATAAGAAATTCATTCTCCGAAAGGAAAAACAATTCACAAATTATGATTTGGTGTTGTTCTAAATAGATCTCAAAGTGATCAGTTATACTAACTAATCAAACTAACTATACTAACTATACTAACTATATCAAAACTAACTCAGCCTCCTCACGCCACTCCTGTTCTTTCTAGTTAACTTCTCCTATCACATTCAGCTTCCTTTTCTTCTCCATTTTAATATTTCCCCCAGAAAACTAGCCCATTGGAAAATTAAGAATGGGTATGGAATTATCCCAAATGTAGGACCTCTCCTTACCCCATTCCCCTCCCAGACACAGGACTTCTCATCAGTTGAAAGCTACCTCCCATATCTTTAATTCAGTACCTGGAAGAAGCCAATAATAACCAAGGGCCTGGCTTTCATAAATTCTACCACTTGCTGGGTGTCAGTGAACAAAAATGCTTTCTGGCTAATTTGTCTTCGCAACCAAACGACCAAGGCAGCAGATTCAATCACTCCTGGAGATTGAGAGAGAGAGAGAGAGAGAGAGAGAGACAGTTAAATTGACCCCACAGAAGTTTTCTTTTAAAGTGCAGCAAGGGCCTGTCTTTCCCAAGTTTAATGTAAAGAAGACTCTTATCCTGGGCTTTCATTTCTTGAAGGCCATAGTCAGCTCTCCCACTTGTCTTATCCAGGTCCCAAGATATGAACATTAACAGCAGGTAAACTATATAGCACTTGCTAAGGACCAGCCACTGTACTTGAGCACTAAGTGTTTCATACATATTATATCCCCACAACAACCCTGCCCTAAGGGATAGATAATAATATTATTACTCTCCCCTTTTTGTAGGTGAGGAAATTGAGATTCAACTTGCCAATGGCCACCCCACTAACAAACCTGGGGATCAAACCCAGGAGGAAACAAGCCCAGTCTTTATTATTCACCTTCCAAAGTGGCAGTAAGATACATTTTTAAAATAAATAAATATTAAAAATACAAATCAAAAGACCAGCTAGCTACATGACCTTGGAAAAAAAGTCATCATATCTTTTTGTGTTTCTAATACCCTAGCTGAGACAAAAATGTGTGCTAAAGTTATAAATCCTGACTTTCATTTCTCAGCGATCCTGTGGGAGGTGCCAAGCACACAAAAATCTTAGCTTCTAAAATTCTAAGATATATACCGTATCTGGAGAGACATAATGGCATGTCAGAATGTACACAAGGCTACAGATGGATATACGTTTGCTGGGATTGTCAGTTTCACATGATGGTAAATAATGAAAATATTTTATATCAAAGCTTACTACAGAATAGAACAGAACACTTTAAATGAGTTTATGAGATAAAGCAATGTTTGTTGGGAGTATCTTTGGGTTATATTAATAGGGCTTTATTCATTCATTCTTTCATTCTATTCATTCATTTGATAAATATGCACTGAGTGCCTATTAAGTTATCAAGTGTTGTGTTTGTTCTTAAAGCTATAATGGTGAGCAAAAGAAAAAAAACACATTGCCACTGTTTTTTCAGCTCTCATTCTGTTTACAAGATATAAAAAAATTACACAAATAAATATATAAGCACAACCAGGTAAGTACTTGAAAGCAAAGTTCAATGAGCCAGTAACAAAGATACATGATACAGATTCTGAAGTGAAGGAGAGCTTCCTGAAGGAAATTACTTAAGAGCTGAAAATTGAGGGATGCATAGGAATTACAGGAGGCAATAAGAAGAGGGAAAGGCAGAGCAAACAGCCTGTGCAAAGGCCCTGCAACATGACAGGTTGCTCATGGAGCTTGATGAGTGCACATTGAGTTAGTAGAACAGCTAGAATGGACTATTTTCAGAGTCTTTGTTTATTTACCAATAATATTAGTCCTTTAAAAAACTTGTGGATCAAAAAACTATGGTACATTTATACAATGGAATACTACACAGAAAGAAAGAAAGAGCTACTACCCTTTGTGACAACATGGATGGAAGTGGATAGCATTATGCTAAGTGAAATAAACCAGGTAGTGAAAGACAAATACCATATGATCTCACCTATAAGTGGAACCTAATCAATAAAACAAACAAGAAAGCAAAATATAACCAGCAACACTGAAACAAAAAACAAACTGACAGTAATCAGAGGAGAGGAGGGTAACATGGGAAAAGAAGGGGAAGGGTCAAGTCAAGTCAAGGAACAAGTATAAAAGACCCATGGACAAAGCCAAAGTGGGGAGGGATTGAGGGTGGGAGGTGGGGGTGGGTAGGGCAGGGGATAGTTGTTGTGGGAAAATGGAGACAACTGTACTTGTTGAACAATAATAAAAACGAAATTTAAAAAATAAATTTAAAAAACTTGTAGTGAAGTATAGTTACATACAGAAAGGTGCTCAAATTATAATGTGTAGTTTGGTGATTTTTCACAAAATGAGGACACTTGAATCACTACCACCCAGATCAAGAAATGGAATATTACCAGTCCCTCAGAAGTCCCTGTTGTGTCCCCTCCCAGACCCTCCCCATGTCCCCACCTAAGGGTAACTTCTGGTGATGCTGGTTCTAGTATGCCTGCTCTTGAATGTTGTATAAAACATATAGCATCTGTTTTCAGGTCTGGTTTCATCATGTTTGTGAGATTCATCCATGTTGCCTATACGTGTAGATTTGTTCACATAGCTGCTTTGCCTTCAGTTGTGTCACCATTCCACAATTTATTAATCTGTTCTTTGTTGATGGGCATTTGAGTTGTTTCCAGTTTGGGGCTCTGCACTGCTGTTGGATATATGCCCAGAAGTAGAATTTCTGGTCATAGGGGATAATGTGTTCAGCTATAGTAGATACAGATTGGGCCTTTTTAAAAGCCACCATGAGTCAGGCTTATGGAAGTTCATAAAAGAAGGATGTGGTGATCTCAAAGGTCGGAGAAGGATGGATGAGGCTTCCTGCCACACTCAGACCAAGGCACTCCACTCCACTGCAGTCACCCCCACCTCCTGGACTTAGACCCAAGGCTGAGTTTCTAATTTTAGAGTGTTCTAAGCCATTTTTCGGGGAAATAAAAACCAGGCACCTATCATGGAAACAAAGTTTCTCTTATAGGTTTTTACCTGAAAAAATGTATATTCTAAGTGTCTTGAAAGGAATGGATTTTAAAACTCTGAAAATACAAAGCAGGTGGAAAAAAAAAAAAAAAACCCTGCGAACGGGTTTAACTTTCAGGTCCTCAGATCTGTCTCTCTGTCAGACTGCATTTTGTGCTGCTCTGCTGCTGTCCAAAACCCAGCCCTCTTTCTCCCCCTCCCACCCCCTTACCAGGCTTTGCACCTGCCAGCCTCTCCTCTGGGTTGCCCCTCCTTCCCTGTCAAGGATACCTCCTTCTGCTTCTTCAATTCTCATTTGGGTCTTTTATGACCCCTCCTTCTGCAATCCTCTATTTTATGGCCTGTTGTATTTTCTTCATTGAATCTATCTTTTCCTGAAATTTTGATATTTGGCTAACTTGCTCAGTAGCTCCTGACATGTCTAGCTCATACTGGGTGCTAAAGAAAAAAATTGTAGGATCAATCAATGAAGTGAATGAATCGCTAGATAAGTTGATTTTGGTCTCTCCTTTCTGGGATACATGAACTCCTTTTGCTCCTCCAGATCTCATGGTTCTGAGGTAGTAGCTCTGAAGTTCTCAATCAATTCCATCCTGAGTGCCTGTTGGGCAGGTGCATCTCTGGTGCTTGGGTACAAGCCAGAGTACAAGGTGACAACTGGAGTGTGAATGCTATGTCAAAGATTGACTCAGACCAAGCTGTGAATGCATCATTAACTGAGGCCCTGGAGGCAACCTGAGTCTGCCTCCCTCCAGAGAGACAAGTAAGGCCAAGTTTCCCAATCATCCATCCTTAGAAACTAGAGAAGTGGTCTGGAGCTTTGACCCAAGAACTAGATCTCATCTGCCTCCTACAGAGGTTTTCATAAAATTCACATGGTCACCCTTCTTAGCTCAGGGGAACCCTATCAAATCAGAAGAACTGGCATCCACTATTCATCCTGTTTTGGAAATGAGATGTTTAAAAGCTCCCATAGCTAGTGCTTGTCCTAAAATCCAGTCCCTGGCTCCATCCCAGCATCCCACTCCCTCTTTCTCTGGTTGGGGATAATACTGAGGAAGAAGAGGGAATGGGTAACCCCAGTAAAAAAGATGGCCAGCTCCTTACTTCAAGCTTGCCTATAGCAGGCCCTTGCAATTCCATCCCAATCAAACTCCAAAACGACTCTTCAGAATCTAAGTGTTCCAGGTACTGAACTAGGGTCAGGACACTAATAGGTTAATGATAACCATACCTGCCACTTTCTTAGAGAGTAGCAGAGCGTACAACAGGGATCAGTCAGCTGTAGCTCATGGCCAGATCTGGCCTGCCAGTTGGTTTTATAATAAAGAGGCAAGTTGAATCTCAATTTCCTCACCTACAAAAAGGGGAGAGTAATAATCGGCACACAGCCACATCCATTTGCTCATGCAAGGTTGTTTTCCCACTGCATCAACAGTTAAATAGTCATGGAAGAGATTGTCTGGTCTATAAGGCTTAAAATATTTATTATTCCCTCTGGCCCAGAGGCATTTGAAAGGATGCTCAACATCACTAGCCATCAGAGAAATGCAGATCAAAACCACCATGAGGTACCACCTCACACCGGTCAGAATGGCCATCATAAACAGATCCACAAACAACAGGTGCTGGCGAGGCTGTGGAGAAAAGGGAACCCTAGTCCACTGTTGGTGGGAATGCAGACTGGTGCAGCCACTATGGAAAGCAGTATGGAATTTCCTCAGAAAGCTGAAAATGGAACTGCCTTTTGATCCAGCGATTCCCCTGCTGGGACTATACCCTGAGAACACCAAAACGCCAATACAAAAGAACCTATGCACCCCAATGTTCATAGCAGCACAATTTACAATAGCCAAGTGTTGGAAGCAACCTAAATGCCCATCAGTAGATGACTGGATCAAAAAATTATGGTACATATACACAATGGAATACTACGCAGCAGAAAGAAAAAAGAAGTACTAAACTTTGCGACAGCATGGATGGAACTGGAGAGCATCATGCTAAGCGAAATAAGCCAGGGGACGAAAGACAAATACCATATGATCTCAGCTATAAGCGGAACCTAACCAACAATGCAAAGAAGCAAGGAAAATATGACCAGCAACACTGAAAGGAAAAGAAATCAACAGAGACAAGAGGGAAGGGGGGGCAGGGAAAGGGAAGGGAAGGGGAAAGTCAAGGAACATATAGCAAGGACTCATGGACAAAACCAAAGGGGAAGAGCTGAGGGAGGGAAGGTGGGAGGGGGCAAGGGAAAGAGGTGGGGGGAAGGCAGAGACAAATGTATTTAAAAAGTAAATAAATTAATTAAAAAAAAGTATTTATTATTCCCTCTGTACAGAAAATGGCTGTGGATTCCATGGAGCCATGAAGAAGTTATTCTACCTCATTCTACCTTGATTTCCTCATCTGTAAAAGCACCTCCTACACTGAGTTGTTGTGACATATAAGAAGAGACAAGAACAGTGCCTGAGACCCAGTAAATGCTTCAGATACATGGCACAGCTTGTGCCTTGTAAATTTATTCCTTTTTCCTGGTAACCTCAGGAGACAGATACACTCACCATCCTTGTTTGACAAACAAGTAAATCAAAATTCAACAGGAATTGATTGTTCCTTAGGTACATAGTGAGAATCTGAAGCCAGAGTTGCCTGTGTTGACCCCTGACTTCATGTGCTCAGTAGACAAGACTATGAGAAACAGAAACAATTCTGTGAAGTGAGAGGTTGAGGGGGAATCACAAATGCTGTGGAGCTCCACAAGAGGGGCAGGTGCCCTGACACAACCGCATAGTCAAGGAGGACTGCCAGTGGGAGGTAATGAAGTTTCCTTCAGGGCAGAGGAGGTCCCATGGGCTTCCACTACAAAAGGGATCCAACAGTATAGAAGTTTCCACATTGTCACCTTGTTGCCACTAACTGAAATCAGGTCTTTGACAATGTAACCTGGCACTTCTGATTTCTTGCCCCACAAAGAGTTACTAGCATGGGATCAATGAGCCACCATTGTTGAGGGTTGTCCTGAAATCAGTATGTATAGGAAGTAACTGTCTCTGTCCTTGTCTTTCTGCTCCTGCCCCCTCTCCCCCTCTATTTCTCCCCCCATTCACATACCACCTCCCACAAGCCAGCAAGTCAGGTGCCACAGCACTGCCAGGTCTCTTAAGTAACCTGTCCTGAGATTTACGCTTTTGTTGCACATTCCTCTGACCTGTGTGTCTCCTGCCCTCTTGTGTCTATTCTGAAAGCTGCAAGGCATCCTGCAGTCCCTGCAGCTGGTAGCACTGTCTTGGTCTCTTGGTTTTTGCAACAATATTCAAACCAGACTTATTGCAGACCTGCTGAACATGAGGCCTTGTAAAAGACTATCTCAGTTTCCCGAGATACAGCCATTCCACACACACATAATGGGAACATTCTACCAGCTTAGTACCAGTTGTGCTGGGTTCATCTGTGTTCATTAGTGTTTTTCCATCCATCCATGTGGTATACATATATTCATACATTCATACAGCTAACATCTTTTAAAATTAGGGCCTATCATGTGCCATACCTAGGCACATAATTCTTCAAGTATTTTCAACATCAAGATAGAGCTTGACACATGTTGACTTCTCAATAAAAGTGCATGAAATAAGTGAATTACTGAGGTAATGAATAAAATGTATGATAACAGAAACAAGAGTTTGGTAGTCACTCTGAAGCAGATCTGTGTTGTTACATCATCTCTTAGTCTACCTTATGGCAAGCAGTGTTCCCTTAGCCTGGAACCAAAATTATTCTAAGGTTATTCTAGGGAGAGGATTGAGGTGGAAGGGGCTTAGGTGAAGTTAGGGACTCACTATATAGTCTCTGGTGGTTTATAAACCACATTGCACCTGACTATCCCAGCTCTTGGTGCTTCTAGGACCCACTAGCTGAGATGCATGCCAGAGAGACATGTAGCTTACATGGTCACCAGAATCCATCTTCCTTATGGCCTTCTCAGCCTGTTCATGAGTAGAATCACATAGCAGAATCTTGGTCAGTGGAATAAAAATAGAAACGATGCCACTTCCAGATCTAGACTATGAATACAACCAGTGGTAGTTCTCTGTCTCCTTGCCCCAGTTGCTGACAGGATACAGAGGAAAGAACATGTGGCTCAGAGGCCCTAAGGGAAGATAGAACCACAGCTGGAAGGATCTGGAGTCTTTGAAAGACTGTGAAGAGCACAGTCTCTACTCTCTGGCTGCCAACTGAGCTTTACATGTTAATAAATTCATAATTCTGTTAAGCCATTAAAATGCTGGTGTTTATGTGTTTCCATAGCTAACATTACCCTGACTGACATTCAAGCACCATTACCTTCACAGCTGATGGGATCCAACCTGTTGCTCTCAAAAAACAGCTTCAACTCCGGGGTTTTCTGAATGTCAAACTCCTTCCGAAGTTCCTTCTCAACTGTGATGTCCACTTTGCCAAAGCCGATCCCATTCTTGCCTTTGCCCATCATCTCCACTGCTTTGCCCAGCTCCTCAGCCAGGTTACTGGATTGCTTTGAGGATGAGTTGTCTGAAAGAGCAAGTGGGAAGCAGAACTTGCTAGAGCCTCTCCCCCTCCAGATTCCCAAAGAAGAAGCTTGGTTTGCCTATTTAGCTCCCACGACTTTCTCATACTCTGATGATACTAGGTGAATTTTCAGAAATGTGACATGTGGTTCATGAAGTTGTCCACTTTGAAAGACATATGTTAAGGGTTTTTGTGGGGGAGAGATTTTCAGCATCACTGGAAACTATGCAGCTTTGGGCAACTTAACCTTTCTAAGCTCCATTGTCCTCAGAGTAAAGGGGAAAAATAGTGGTATCTCATGGAGTTGTCACAATCAAAGGATTTACTTAAAAATTAGTTATATAATGCTTATTATTTACAAGAGCTTTACATGGATTAAGCCATTTAATACTCCTAGTACCTCTACAGGGTAAGTATTATTATCTCAATTGTATAGATGAGGAAACTGATGTGCAACAAAATGACCTGTTCACCTAGGGCCATGTGGTAGGCAGAGATGGAGCCAGTATCTCAATATACACGATTGGTTCTCTAACCTCCACCAGGCCTGTCAAACCCTTAGCACACACTGTTATTATATATTAACATGTCAATATTATATATAACTCTGTATAAATATAATATATAAATGTCTACATAAATAATTCTACATTATAATATATAAAATGTACATTTTAATGTGTTACATATTATAATACATATATAATCGTTACTGTTATTGTAAAATTACGGGGGAGCAATAAGGAGACAGAACGAGAGAGTATAATCACCATCTGGTGGAAAGTCCTGGAGCTAGCAGGCAAAATTTGGCCCCAACAGCCCTATAGCTGCATAAAACATGGCAGAGGACTCTCAAGGAAAGAAGACCACGAGTGGGAATTGTGTGTATAGGGAGAGGTTATAATGCTCTCCTACCTCGTCTAAGACCACCCCCTTGGAGGGGGGTTAAATAGACCTCACACTCTGGATTAAGATATATACAGTGACAGATGATTACTAGACTAGTTTTCACATTGTAACATATATAAATATAGAATCCTTATTTTCTACACCTGAAACTAATATAATATTTGTATGTCTACTATACTTAAATTAAAAATTGAAATTAGATTGGACTTCAAGATGGTGGAGGAGAGTGGAAGTCACACTGACCTTCTCCCAGGACCAACCTGAAATTACAACTAAATTGTGGAGAAATCACCTGGAAAACAACTGAACAACAGTGAGAGAGGAGCCTTAAAACCTTGGGCAGACAAAGGAATCAGCTTCAGATCAAACTAACTGGTAAGAAATGGGGAAGAGGCTCAAGAAAGTGGACTGGGCACCCACAGACACAGCGCCAGAAGGATATTGATACAGCCAGTTAGAGCCACGAGAAGACCAGGATCTAAACCATAATAAGCAGAGATCTCCAGCCTACAGCACCAGAGCCCAAAAAGCACACAGATAACAGCTAGCTGTGAAAAGCAGCAGTGTGCTCTCTGCCTCAGACAGGCAGCTGGAGATATAGAGTCATTTAAAGGGTCAATGAAAAAAATTGTAGCGGCAGCCACTTTACTTGGTCTCTGGCAGAGGTGGGGTCAGAGTAGTCTGGAACCGCCTGAGGAGAGACAGGAGACGGAGGCTTGGGGGAAAGAACTGAGAAAGAGGATGGCAGAGTCCTGGTGCTGACTCACACCACATTCTGCAGCTGCCATCTTGCTCAGGCAGAACACTCCTCTGAGTGGCAGCAACATGAAAGAACATAATCACGCTCCCAGTAGGCTCGGCCCCAGCCTGGTGTTGTGCAAACCAGGACACTAGTATAGAGTAGCAATAATAGGCAGTAGATGCCGGTCTAAAGGGAATTCAGAGTGGTCTAGAGACACTTGAGGAAAGTCAGGCAACAGAGGCATTGGGGAGAAAACTGGGGGAGTAGCTGGGGGTATCCTGGTGCTGACTTCTACCCCATGCAGCAACTGTCATATTGCTCAAGCAGACTACTCCTCTGAGTGGCAAAAGCATGAAAGAACACAACAACCCCACCCACAGGAATGACTGCCCTGCTCTGATGGCTGAGGGGAGGGTGACTAGATTAACAACTGGAGGAGACGGACACAGATGGTATATTCCTGGAAGTCTCTTAAAGACTGCCTAAGGTCAGATGGTGTCAGCAGCTGACATCATCACAGGCAGATCCAGAAAGAAAGAAAGAAAAAAAAAAAAAAAAAGAAAGCAGTCTCCTACCAGAGTAGGTCATACCATGAAGTCTGGAAGTCAAGACAGATCAATTTAAAAGGAGAAGCAAAGAAGAAGAGTCTCACAAATAATGGGAAGAAAAAGAAACACCCCCAAATCAAAGGGAAAGGAGGAATCCCACAAAGAGAACTAAATAAAATAAAGGCAAGTAAATTATCAGATATTGCATTCAAAACAACAATTCTAAGGAAGCTCAGTGACCTCAGTGAGCTCAAAGTAAATTCCCAAAAACTACAGGAAAACTATGAGGAACTTATTGAAAACATATTGACATGAAAAAAGACATAGAAACTATCAATAAGAGGCAAGAGGAAATGAAGAATGCAATTTCTGAATTGAAGAACACAGTAGAAGGAATCAAAAGCAAGCTCAATGAATCAAAGGATCAAAACAGTAAGATGAAGGACAAGGTAAAAAAAAAAAAGCTCCCAGAAAGAGCAAGAAAATGAAAAAAGACTCAGGAAGAATGAAGAGGCATTCAGGGAAATGCATAACAACCTGAAACATAATAATATTAATATAATAGGGATACCAGAAGGAGAAGAGGAACGAAGGATAGAGAACCTGTTTGAAAAAGTAATGATGAAAAAAATCCCTAATTTGACTAGAGAAAAGGTCAAACAAGCCCAAGATGCACAGAGAGACCCATTCAATAAGAAGCCAATGAAGTCCACTCGCGGACACATCATCATTAAAATGGCAAATATCAAACACAAACAGAGAATGCTAAAGGCAGAAAGGGAGAAACAGGTAGTAACATACAAGTAAGCCCCGATATAGCTAGCAGCTGACTTCTCAACAGAAATGCTACTAGCCAGAAGGGAATGGCAAGGAATATTCCAAATAATGAAAAGCAAGAGACTGCAGCCAAGACTACTCTACCCAGCAAGGCTCTCAATTAAAGTGGAAGGCAAAGTAGGGAGTTTCCCAAACAAACAAAAATAGCTAATGAATGCACCTCCACCAAACCAACAGTACAAGATATGCTAAAGGGACAACTTTAAGGAGATGAAGAAAGAGAGTGAGAGAGAGGATCACAGGTACAAAGAGAAAAAATGAGTAAGTACCTATCAATAATAATTTTGAATGTAAATGGACTGAATTCCCCCATGAAAAGACACAGGAGAGCTGAATGGATAATAAAAATGACCCACACACATGCTGCCTACCAGAGACCCAAGTGACCACCTCAAAACAAAGGACCTACACTACTGAAAGTAAAGGGATGGAAAAAAATATTCAAAGTAAATGGACAGGAAAAAAAGCAGGGGTAGCAATGCTTATATCAGACAAAATAGATTTCAAAACAAGGGCCATAAAAAAAGACCTAGGAGAACATTTTATGGTACTCAAAAGAAGACTCCATCAAGAACACATAAACATTGTAAACATATATGCACCCAACATAAGAGCACCCAAATATTTAAGGAAAATCTTGGAGGACTTCAAGAAATATATAGACAGCAACACACTGATAGTAGAGGATTTTAACACCCCACTGTCAAAATTGAGTAGATCTTCCAAACAAAACATCAGCAAGGATATTGTGAATGACGCATTAGACAAATGGACTTAACAGACATATATAGAACCTTTCATCCCAAAGAAGCAAAATACACATTCTTCTCAAATGCACAAGGAGCATTTTCAAAACTAGACCACATGACAGGACACAAAACATTCATCAACAAATTCAGGAAAATCAAAATCATAACAAGCATTTTCTCGGACCACAAGGGCTTGAAACTAGAAACCAACCTCAAGGAAAAAACTCGAAAACATTGAAACTCATGGAGACTGAATCGTACACTATTAAACAATAAATGTGTCAATAATGAGATCAAAGAAGAAATAAAAAGGTATTGAGAAACAAATGAAAATGAACACATGACAGTCCAAAACCCATGGGACACAGCAAAAGCAGTCTTGAGAGGGGAGTTCATAGCAATACAGGCCTACCTACAAAAAAAAAAAAAGAAAGAAAGAAAAGAAAAGAAACATGTCAAAAAAACCACCTAACTCTCCAGCTTCAAGAACTGGAGAAACAACAACAAACACAGAGCAGAGCAAGTAGAATAAAAAAATAATCAAGATAACAGTAGAAATAAAGGACATAGAAACTAAAAGAATGATTCAAAGGACCAACAAATCCAGGAGTTGGTTCTTTGAAAAGATAAACCAAATTGACAAGCCTTTATGCAGATTCATCAAGAAAAAAAGGGAGAGGACCCAAATAAATAATATCAGAAATGAAAGAGGAGAAATAACTACTGATACCACAGAAATACAAAGGATTGTAAGAAACTACTATGAACATATATGCCAAGCAATTTGAAAACCTCGATAAAATGAACAAATTTCTAAAAAAGTGTAACATTCCAGCACTGAATGAAGAAGCAGCAGAAAGCCTGAACAGACTGAGAACAGCAGTGAAATTGAAGCAGTAATCAAAAAACTCCTAGCATAAAAAATCCCTGGACTGGATGGTTTCACAGGAGAATTTTACAAAACATCTAAGGAAGAGCTAACTGCTGTCCTCCTCAGACTACTCCAAAAAATCCAAGAAGAAGGAAGACACCCCAAAATTTTTTACGACGTCGCCATCATCCTAATCCCAAAACCAGATAAAGACAGAACAAGGAAAGAAAACTAGAGGCCAATATCACTGATTAAAAATAGACACTAAAATCCTAAACAATATATCGGCAAACCGTATCCAGCAATATATTAAAAAGATCATCCACCATGATCAAGTGGGATTCATG